TGATGATTTTTAAAAATTCAAATTTGATTTGTAAAGTTGTACGTTTTAAACAAAAACGCAACTTTAATTAGAGTAACAAGGATACAGTTAAGCGATAAAAAAAAATGTATGATCAATCACATATGGTATACAAATGGATATTAATACAATTTTATAAAATAATTGATATAGTTAAATGATTTATTGTTAAAACATTATGTAAATATGTAGAGATTTCGTTATATTTTAGTTCAATTTAAATTTGTAATATATGTATTGGTGAATTATGTTAAAAAATTAATGTAAATATGAAGAGATTTCCAATGTGGCATATAGATTTAATTAGAATGTTTTGATTGGTTGTTTTAATTGATGTGTTCCTTAAATTCTTCTTTGTTTGACACCTAGGATTTTTTGTGAGTGTCTCCTCAATTAATATATAGAAGATTCGGAAAGGTGAGATGGTAAATTTGTAACCTATGATTTGTTATACTGGCCACAAGTTAAATTATTCTTAATTATTTTCATATAATGAACACTCATAGATAGTTCGAAAGTATACAATGGAATTTCAATATCTTCTTCATATATATAACATGAAACCACTATAGCCTTATATTATGGAGTTTTCCGTCTAATTTTTAACATTTTTAAGGAGTATTTAAACTAAATCGGAATGATTTTAATTAGTTTTGGGTTACAATAAATTCTAAATTATTTCTTTAATTAATATTTTTACAACAAATATTATGATATTTTATAAAGATTCGTTTGTTACAATTCTAGAGCAAGTTTTTCCTAATTTGATTTTTTTTTGTTTGTTTAGATACATGTAACGATTCTCATAGATTTGATTTTGTCCTTTCAACTAATCATCATTCCCTATATAAAGAACTCAATTCTCCATTGTCAACACATCTTAAAACATGATTCGCCGATCTATAATTTTATTTTATTTTTAGATTACGTTAGAATTATGAATTTTCTAAATATTTTTTGGGTGGTTAACTATTTGTCTTCCCATGACTATTATGTAGAAATCATGGTCAGATGTTTTGTCTTAAGCTCTAACATGCATTTCTTATCATTCTATGTTGATTTTCATTTCACATACTCATTTTTTATTATTTGTTCTTTGATACCTGTTGTAATATTGTATATGACACTTGGTTATACTTTCACTGCTGGGAAATACGTTGTGCTGATGTTTTATTTTTTTTAACTATCTTTAGAAACGGATAACCAAATGTTATATAAACAGAAGAACTTGGTGGGTAACGAGCAATTTCTTAAACATGTTGGAAAACATTGGAGGAAAAAGGTATACCCCTAGAAACTATTCGAGGTAAAAATATATATTGGAAAACTATGTTGCTATATATAAATATTTTTATATTTTGCGTTATGTTTCATGTTTTCAGTTATTTTGTGTGTTTTCAATATATTGATATTGGTGAAAGCGATGTGACTATCATTGCTTATATCAAATCCTTTCTTCTTCATGATCTTTTTGTTGTCATTCTCTGAGACATCTCTGAATTTTTAAACAGGTTGAAGAAGACAAGGCAATAATAGAACAACAAAAAAGTTTGTAGGAACTGGAGTGACTTGTAGAATACCCATGATTCAAATTATTCATGTTCTATGTTTTTTTTAATAGTGTGTTTGGTCTCTGACACATCTGGTCGTCTATCCCAAAGATACAACATGGAAAGCCGTCAAGTGTGGTATGTTAATAAACGATGACGATGAGATTTGCTTTTTGTGTTGTTTATATTTTTAATCTGTGTTTTTGCAGATGGCACAAACATAGGTCTGAACAAGTATAATGAATCGATGAATGTTTTTTCTCTTACAGTAAATATCATTGCTCAATGGCCCAAATATATATTATATACTGACGTCTCAAACTCATTTAATTTGATTGCTTTTAAATCTCGTGTGTTTGATTGTTTGATGGTTCCTCTATGTAATCTTTTTTTTTTGTCAACAAGATCTTCTTCATTAGATTAAACTGGAGAATCAGTTACAAGGGCATACGAACCCAACACAGGTCTAAAACAGAAAAATTCAAATGTTTCGGAATGATATAAAGAACCACGGACTAAACCATGGTGTTTGGAAACTATGGAGCCTAATGAAGTGGCTCCAACCATTGGGAAGGATTCGGATTCTACTGAGATTTTCTTTTTATCTTCGACTAAAACCGCTAGGATTTTAGTTCGAGTCACAGAGGAGTAAGCATTCCTGGATTTACACTCTAACTCTAGAAGCCAAAAATTGGCCCTAAACATAGCTAGTAACAACGAAGATATCACTAGAACAATGTAAGCAACTAAACTACTTAAAGATCCTAGACTACAACCAGTTTCCAAATCCACAAACACACCCTTATATGGGCCAAGCCCTCTACAATCAGGCCCAATAACAGAACCGGTGATGAAGCGACTTACGGTGGTGGATCGGACGTTTAATTCTGGCAGCATTGTAAAGGTTGGTGCAGTTGAGGACCACCACCACAAGAGAGATTGTGGTGGGTTTATATCCGGCGGAGCCCAAAACGTACATGGCTTGGATGATCTAGAAGCCTCGCCTTGATATCTTGGCCATGGATGGAGTGGTTGGCCTAAATCCCCTCGAGGATGGAGGTGAGGGAAAAGGTCGATGGAGTGGTGATTTTTTGGATCGGTGAGCAGGGATGAAGATCGAAGCACCTCCACAAGAGAAGGGTCTGGCGGATCCGGGGGAGGATCCGGTGGATATGGTAACTTCGGTGGTGAAGAGGGCTCGCATGGCTCTGGAAAACGTGGGTCTTGTTTTGGGCGAAGAGATGTTGAGGTTAGATTCCTCGTCACCACACTGAGGTCGGCAGCGATGGCTTTAAGCCATAGACCAATCTCCGGCGTTACAGATTCGGACGGGGGAGGGAGAGGACATCGCGACGATCGTGATTTGCAGATCTCGAGACCAAGATGATTCACCGGAGAGATGGATCTCCGATTGATTGCATGTGAGGTCTCGAGAGTAAGAAGCATGGCTTCTTAGGTGAAGCGATCAGCGACAGAGGAGGAAGCTCGAACGACCATGGAGATCAGTGGTTTTCGTTGTTGGAGGCGCCTAGGGACTCAAGCCCGAGAGAGAAAATTAGGGCTAACTACTTAGCGGTTCCTCTATGTAATCTGTCATCTTTGTTTTGTAGTTAAATGTTTCTGCCTCTCCATTGGGTTGAATTTTATAAAGTTTATCTTCTTGGTTCTTGACGATTGCAACATGACACGTTTCGTGGAGACGATTCTGAGACAATATTTACTCCATAATTAACTACATGGTCAAAGCAAAGACAACATTTAGAAGGATTTAAAAAACAAGTCGAGAATAACTTAGCAAAAAAAGAAATGTCTAACTACAACCATGAAAGAAAATCTTAAGAAGTGATGTCTTAATACCTTCATTTCTTTTATGGATTTTACATGATTTGTGTACATCATTATCATTTATATGCTATGTATTATGGGTTGTATTATTTTAAGAGGATCACATACTTTTGAAGTAATATTCACGTATAAACTTGTGTTTCCAAAATGAAAAACTTAGAGATGGTTTTGGAGGCATTACAATATATGCAATCGTTAGCCCATTAGGTGAAAACTATGTATTATTATGTGTTTGAATCCGTAACTTCTACATTTTCTAACAGATTCAAAGAAAAAAAATCATTGAAGAAGAATATTAATTAAGATGAAGACAAATGAAATCTAGCAAAAGAAAAAATATAAATCATAAACTAGATAAAAAGTGTGTGAAAAAAAAATAGATAAAAAAAAAGATAAATATGGTGAAGAATAAGAAGAAGAACTAGAGAAAGAAAAAAAAAATGAAATGAAAAACGGATGTAGAAGACGAAAAAATTGAAAGAAAAATTAGAAGGAGAAAACGAAGACGGTAAAGAAGAGAAAAAGAAAGAAAAGGAAACAATATTAAAAAAAGAAGAAAGAGAAGACGAAACCATAGACAGGACAGAGAAGATGATGAAGAAGAACGAAGAAACTAAAGAGACAAAATATGGTGATTTCAAACGCAAATAACAAACGTAGGAGAGTAAAAAAAAAAGAACGAATAAAAAATGGAAGATGAGCACATAGACGAGAAAGAGGGCGAAGAAAAGAACCAAAGAGGGAAGAAAAAGAAGAAAGAAAGGAGACGAATTAACAAACGTTAATTGTTAACGGAGTTTACAAATCCTTCATGCTCACCGTTTCTAACATTTTCAATATGTTAAAACTATTCTTTCACTAATTATAAAATTTTACATATTGTTATCCAATGTCTGGTTATATTTCAACACAAATACAAAAATTTACAAAACGTAGAAGTCTCAAATTTTCACGACGATACTCAAA